CTGCTTGAGCTTTCACCAGGGTTCTAGTCCTGCGCTAAAAGTTCAGAGGCAGGAAGAGGACAGGACATCCCTGGGGATAAAGATTCCTCCAGGATCAAGCAGTCTACACGATGCGGGACAACCTTCAATACTGGTAAGTTTGGTCAATTAAATTGTAGGGCTGAAAAAATATTTTTTAGTTAAATTTCAGCTGTAAACTTAATTCCAGGAATTCAGCCACCTAATAGAATATGCTGGCTTACTATGGGTTAAGCTCAATGAGGTGCATGAAGGGGAGGGGCAGGCACAGCAGATGGAGCAGAAGGTCCATCTTGAGAGCCTGAAGAATAGTGATAGATATGCTCTTGGCACTCAGTAAAAATAAAAATTGTAAATTAAAGAGATAAGTCCACAAAGTGGCATGCACCTGGTTGGACCTAACACCAAGTACTCCAAAACATTTTAAAAAGTGGCTGGATTCCTGGAGTTCAGTTTTAGGCAGTACCTAAAGTTGAGGAATGTTTTGAAAACACTGAAAAGGCAATTGAAATAAAATGAATACAGAAAAAATAGATAAGCATGAAGAAAGCAGACAAAGGCTTGGTTCACACTGTACCTTGATTCTGACTTTCAGTGTATTCATGTAGTGCGATCTTGATGGGACTTCCGATGTGGCTAGCATATATTCTGTGGAGCTAAATTGTGCCAAATTAGCACAGGAACCTTTTTCAAAATTGCACCACACAAAGTCGCATTGATGTGAATGGGCACTATTGAAAATAATGTGATTTTTCTTGTTATGTGACTGAAGTCATGTCAGAAATCGCACCAGTGTGAACCAGCACTTAAAGAATGTAGAACTATAGGAAGAACCATTAGAAGTAAGACCATTTTTAAAGGCATGTATCTTTATTATACATTTATAAAACTTTGAACTACTGGCTACATATAGAATAAATACTGGATGATCAGTTCAGCTCTTGCTATTTGAGCTCAGCATTCTAATGAACTATAGAATGATAGTGTTTTGTTAGTTAAGTTGTCCTGTTTCAATAACAGCGGCTGCAATGTAAGCCTTGTTTTTCTCCCAATGCATGATGTTACTATTTGTGTACCAGGACAGAATTGCTGGCCTCAGGATTACTGGCAGTGGTACATGGCATTTTGGATTCTACTGTATCATAGGACAACACCGGACCTAGAAAAGTCAACTCATGAACTCACTCTGCATTTCATTTAGTCTACTTTACGACATATTTACAATCAAATCAACACTATTCTGCTTCTGGGTTCTGGAAAGTTCCTTGAAATGTGACAAATGGTTTTCAGCACATGCCTCATAACATATTTGAAACCAATGTACAGATAAAGCATAGGCTTAGGCAAACAGTTATATTTTGCAGTTGCAATACATACAGTCAGGTCCATAAATATTGGGACATCGACACAATTCTAACATTTTTGGCTCTATACACCACCACAATGGATTCTTTGCAGTCAATTACAGCCTGAAGTCTGGAACACATAGACATCACCAGACGCTGGGTTTCATCCCTGGTGATGCTCTGCCAGGCCTCTACTGCAACTGTCTTCAGTTCCTGCTTGTTCTTGGGCATTTTCCCTCAGTTTTGTCTTCAGCAAGTGAAATGCATGCTCAATCGGATTCAGGTCAGGTGATTGACTTGGCCATTGCATAACACTCCACTTCTTTTCCTTAAAAAACTCTTCGGTTGCTTTTGCAGTATGCTTTGGGTCATTGTCCATCTGCACTGTGAAGCGGCGTCCAATGAGTTCTGAAGCGTTTGGCTGAATATGAGCAGATAATATTGCCCGAAACACTTCAGAATTCATCCTGTTGCTTTTCTCAGCAGTCATATCATCAATAAATACAAGAGAACCAGTTCCATTGGCAGCCATACATGCCCACACCATGACACTACCACCACCATGCTTCACTGATGAGTGGGTATGCTTAGGATCATGAGCAGTTCCTTTCCTTCTCCATACTCTTCTCTTCCCATCACTCTGGTACAAGTTGATCTTGGTCTCATCTGTCCTTAGGATGTTGTTCCAGATCTGTGAAGGCTTTTTTAGATGTCGTTTGGCAAACTCTAATCTGGCCTTCCTGTTTTTGAGGCTCACCAATGGTTTACATCTTGTGGTGAACCCTCTGTATTCACTCTGGTGAAGTCTTCTCTTGATTGTTGACTTTGACACACATACACCTACCTCCTGGAGAGTGTTCTTGATCTGGCCAACTGTTGTGAAGGGTGTTTTGGTGTTGCTGAGCTCACCGGTGCGTTCCTTCTTTTTAAGAATGTTCCAAACAGTTGTTTAGGCCACGCCTAATGTTTTTGCTATCTCTCTGATGGGTTTGTTTTGTTTTTTCAGCCTAATGATGGCTTGCTTCACTGATAGCTCTTTGGATCTCATCTTGAGAGTTGACAGCAAGAGATTCCAAATGCAAATAGCACACTTGAAATTAACTCTGGATCTTTTATCTGCTCATTGTAATTTGGATAATGAGGGAATAACACACACCTGGCCATGGAACAGCTGAGAAGCCAATTGTCCCATTACTTTTGGTCCCTTAACAAGTGGAAGGCACATATGCAAACTGTTGTAATTCCTACACCGTTCACCTGATTTGGATGTAAATACCCTCAAATTAAAGCTGTCAGTCTGCAGTTAAAGCACATCTTGTTTGTTTCATTTCAAATCCATTGTGGTGGTGTATAGAGCCAAAAATGTTAGAATTGTGTCGATGTCCCAATATTTATGGACCTGACTGTATGTGTAAACAGTCTTACCTGCCAAAATATACAATTCTGTATATTCCAGTGCCATTAGTGCAGTGTCAGTGCTTTTTATTAGCACTGATCACTGTATTGGTGTCACTGGGGATGTCAGTGACATCAAGTCAGTTCCCTGCAGTGTCAGAATGCCCGCCGCAGTCCCGCAATCCTGCACTGATTGCCGCCATTACTAGTAAAAAAAAAAATAAAACATTCCAGTATCAATACCGCCATTTGTAAACAATATAGCTTTCACATAAACCAATTCATTTACACGTATTGGAATTTTTTTTTGCAAAGATATGTAGCAGAATACATTTTGGCCTAAATTTATGACAAGATCCGATTTTTTTTGAATTTTTTTACTGGACATGTTTAATAGCAAAAAGTCAAAAACATATTTTTTTTCTCAAAATTGTTGGATTTTTTTGTTTATAGCCCAAAAAATAAAAAACACACAGGCGATCAAATATCACTACAAGAAAGCTCCATTTGTAGGGAAAAAAGGACATAGAATTATTTTGAGTGCAGTGTTGCATGACCACACAATTGTCAGTTAAACTAACACAGCGCCATATTGCACGAAATGGCCTTGTCAGGAAGGGGGGTAAATCCTCTTGAGGCCAAGTGTTTAAAGATGGAGCTTTCCTTGAAAAAGAAAACAGTTTTGGCAAAAATGTGTAAAGTAACCTAGTATAATTCTCACATAATGCCACTGTCATATTTCAAAGCTGCACTGTACCTTCTGCAGCTGGGTGGATTGATGCAAAATTTCAGTACTAAATTAAACTTTGTATTAGGATACAAGTGTTAAAGTCTATTTGGGGAAGAAGACCCATTCTGAATACATAAAAAACATTTAGGACCCTGAAAATGTAATAGAAAGTTTCTATGTACTGTAGCTATGTGCTCTGATGATATGCCAGTAAATATATATTGTATTGTCAAAAGTATTGGCACACCCTCCAAATCATTGTATCCAGGCTTTCCAATCACCTCCATGGCCACAGGTGTAAAAAACCAAGCACCTAGGCATGCAGACTGCTTCTACAAATATGAAAGAAAATGTCACTCTCAGGAGCTCAGTAAATTCAAGCGTGGTACCGTGATAGGTTGCCACCTATGCAGTAAGTCCATCTGTGAAATTTCCTTGCTACTAAATATTCCACAGTCCATATTCCTTGCTACTAAATATTCCACAGTGGAAGCAACTGGGAACAACAGCAACTAAGCCACAAAGTGGTAGGCCACGTAAAATGACAGCGCAGGGGTCAGCGCACGGTCACCTACTGCAATGGAAAGCATCGGATGCAGTGGTGTAAAGCACGCTGCCACTAGACTCTAGAGCAGTGGAGATGTGTTCGAATCATGCCTCTCTGTCTGGCAATCCGATGGATGCGTTTGGGTTTGGCGTTTGGAGAATGGTACTTGCCTGACTGCATTATGCCAAGTGAAAAGTTTGGTGGAGGGGGGGGATTATGGTGTGGGGTTATTTTTGGCCCCTTAGTTCCAGTGAAGGGAACTCATAAGGCATCAGCATACCAAGACATTTTGGACAATATTATGCTCCCAACTTTGTGGGAACATTTTGGGGATGGCTCCTTCCTGTTCCAACATGACTGCACACCATCACCTTTGGGATGAATTTGAGTGGAGACTGCGAAACAGGCCTTCTCATCTAACATCACAAATGCGCTTCTGGAAGAATGGTCAAACATTCCCATAGACACACTCCTAAACCTTCCTGTTCCAACATGACTGCACACCAGTGCACAAAGCAAGGTCCAAAAAGACATGGATGAGCGAGTTTGGAGTGGAGGAACTTGACTGGCTTGCACAGAGTCCTGACCTCAACCTGATAGAACACCTTTGGGATGAATTACAGCAGAGACTGTGAGCCAGGCCTTCTTGTCAGACATCAGTGCCTGGCCTAACAAATGCGCTTCTGGAAGAATGGTCAAACATTCCCATAGGCATACTCCTAAACCTTATGGACAGCCTTCCCAGAAGAGTTGAAGCTGTTGTAGCTGCAAAGGGTGGGCCAACTCAATATTGAACCCTACGGACTAAGAATGGGATGCCATTCATTCATGTGCGTGTAAAGGCAGACATCACAATACTTTTTGCAATATAGTATATATTTGTATATCAACGTAACAGATATATTGCATCTTATTTAGTAGACAATCAAAAAAGTAACATAAATCTGTTTTATTTGCTTTATAGGTGTAACAATCAGACCGCATGTATCTGGTTTGTCTTACTCCTTTAATTCTTTGGAAAAAAATACATGGACAGCTTATTCAGAAAGTCTACAAAAGTTTCTCGAAGGTACTTTTTTATATAACAAACATTTATACATGTATTGCAACTAAAACTATAGTAGCGGGATGGACATGTGCCCTTATAACAAAAAGCAGACACTTTATTACAAACCTATCCTAGCCAGGGCAAATTCAACTAGGAATATAAAAAACATAATCAGAAGTTATCTGAAAAGTGCATAAAGGGAAGACTTAAAGCATAAGTAAAGGCATTTTCATTTTGGATAGAGTAAGCGTGGCTTATAACCCCCATCAGTTTTTTTTGTCATCTGTGTCCAATTGGGGAGATTTCCCTTTATTCCTGTCCCTTATCCAAAACAGGAAGTGAGAGGATATCATTCCAAATTGAGGAAATCACAGTAAGTCCCCAGAACTAGTGTCCCCATTGCAAGATTTCCCCCATTACTATTCTAATGTCAGCCCAGAATGTGGGATTTTCTTTTACTTTCACTTTTGATGATGACAGTAAACAGGACAAATAGAGAGGGTGAATCTTCCTAAAGGGGGCACAAACAGCAATACAATCTGAGAGGTGTTCTAATCCCACTCCATTCTTTCCAAAACTAAAAAAAACACTAGGCATTGTTAGTGCAAATACCTAGCTACTGTAGCTCAGGATTCTGCTATCCAACACAAAGCCAGGCAAAGGAGTTACATTCTCCATTATGTAAAACAAGAAATAATCCAGCACTTTCATTAAATTTTATTGTAATGCCCACAGTGGTTAAACAGAGCTGAGTTTTTAATAATCTCTACCCATAGAAGGACTTAGGATAAAGTTGAAGTACACACAAAAACATATAATAATTGCTAACTGCAACAGATAATGGGTAAATACAGAAAATTATCACCATACTTACTGTAATTTTTCCTTTCCTGGGAGCTCATCATGTCAGCCTATGAATGGGTAAGCTCCACCCCTCTGACCCCACAGGAAAACCCCCTACTCAAATAAAAGGAGGGATACCGCATACCCTGGCATTCCTAACATCACCTCGTGAACGAACACAAGGGTGGCAATTCCTGGGGCTAATCATGTCAGCCTACAAATGGGATATAGCTAGCATTAAACAAGAATGGGGGGACCAATAAAAATGAAGAAAACACTGACTGAATGCAAAATAATTGTATTAATATCACACAGAGCAGAAGCGAGCATTGAAGTGCCCAAAAGCCAGGAATGGCCATACATCATGGCCACATGGTAATGGAAAATGAAAGTGTTAGGGGACTTCCAGCTGGCAGGCTTACACACCACTTTCACCAGAACCCTTGCCTGACTTGCCCATAAAGCCAAAGTCGCCTTTGTCAAATGTGCACAAACCCCCTCTAAAGGAGCAAAACCATTAGCTACATAAACTTGTCTGATGGTCTGGACTATCCAAGATGAAAGGATTCTAGGTGAGGCCATTTGACCCTTTTTAGGACCTACTGGTAGGATGAACAAGTTATCCACCAATCTGAACCCTCCCATTCTCCACATAAGCTGTATGTGGAAATGACCTAGAATATGTCCACTTTTGACCAATCTTCCAGTCCTGAAACGGGAGACAATGAAGGAAACACCACTTCCCGATTTAGATGAAAAGGCGAAGCAACCTTTGGAAGGAAATACAGAACTGGATGGAAAACCACTCTGTTCTGAAACAGCTCACAATATTTGAACTGCCTGGCTGTTGTTATTGCTGTAAAAAAAAAAACATGCTCTAGACTATTGGAGGAAAGAGCAACCGCTCCCTTCCATCTTCCTTGCGCAACCTGGTCCTGACAGTAAGCTCACGAAAGTAAGTGTAGTCACTTCTGTGACTAAAAGCAACAGGCCTTGATTTAGATTGCCTGTTTTTGTCCACCACATCAAAGCTTCCTTGCCAAAACAGGCAAGCACTATCTGCTAACATAGAAAGCTCCTATCCCACTGCTGGTGGAAAGCAAACTGGAGGTGTCTGAGATGCCATTGAGCCCAGGCCACTGTTGGGGCTGCTGCATTCATCAACCTCAAGACCCTCATACAATGTTATTCTGATATTGAATGACTCGTCTTCAGAGCTTGAATGGTCGAGATTAAGAGGGATATCTTCTTCATCATTGGAAGGAACACCTTCCCCACCACTGTGTCAAATGACACCCCCAGATACTCTAACTGGCTCTTGCTAAAGTTGATCAACCAACCAAAGCTTTGTATCTCTTCCAGGGCTCTTGCTCAATCATTTGCCAGGACCCTGCCAGAAGGAGGATATCGTCGAGATAATGGAATATCCTTAAGTTCTCTAAGTGGAGAACTACCGCCAGAAGGAGCTTCAAGAACATCCAGGGGGCTGAACTGAGGCCGAAGGGGAGACAAACAAACTGGTATTGAGCTTCTCAGACCACAAACCTGAGGAACTAATGACAAGATGCATGAATAGGGACATGTAGATATGCATCTGACAGGTCTATGGACAGTGATCCAATTCAATGGCTGGACTACTGATATAATGGTTTGAAGTTACACCATCTGAAACATTACTGGCTTAATGAACGAGTTCAAATATTTTAGATCCAGTACTGGCCTGAATTTCCTCATAGCCTTTCTTACCAAAAAGATCAGTGAGCAGATCCCTTCACCCCTTTGGTCTTCAGGAATCGGGACAATTGTCCCCGCAATCAAAAGGTCTTGAACGTAGGCCTCCAATGAGTCCCTTTTCACTTTTTCGGAGGACAATCGAGTACTTACAAAATGGTTTCCTGGAGGATGATGCTCCCACTCCAGCCAATATCCACTTCTCACCAAAGAGAGAACCCAAGGGTCCTAAATTTGGTCCGCCCAGACTCGAAAGAAGAGAGACAATCTCACTTCCACTTGTAGAATCTGGTTGGGCCAACCTTCAGAAAGATCCATCTGCAGCCTTTGTGCCCTTAGTAGACTTGCTCTTCTGAACCTTGTTAATAACCTAGGAAGCCCATCAGGGCTGTCGCAGATAATCCCTTCCTGGTCGATAAGACTCTTACAGTATGTCTCAAATTGCTCCCTAGATCTTCCTGTGGAATAAGTCCTGATTTTGCACCTGTTACAAGCTGGACGGCCTCTTCCAAAGTCTTGCCAGACAAGACCTTCCCAACATATGGAACAGAGCACAGCCCCTGCTTAGATGCACTAGCCACCATCCAATGTTTCAGCCACAGAGCCCTTTTGGCCACCATGAAGTGTGCCATCATTCTTGCCGACAACCAAACAAGGTCCACTGCTGCCTCAGCCACAAAATCTGCTGCTGACTTGAAGGATAAGTTCACCTTTTGGACAAAAATAATAAATGCACATTTTTTTGCAGGTAAAATAATGTGCATTTATTATTTTTGTCCAAAGGAGCCTGTAAAGAATTGCACCAGCGATCAATAGACCACTGGTGCCATGTATGTCTTCTGTAGACCTGTCAGAATATCTGCTAGCTATGTGGGATGTACGGTCAAGCAGATATTCTGACAGGAGGCTTGAATGAACTACCATAGCACTCCACAGCGCCATGGTAGTTAATTGGAAAATACTAGCTGACAGACACTAAGGCTGCCAGGACTTGTAGGCACTCATTGACAGAACTGTGAATGAGTGACGTGGTCGTGTGGGTGGAGCCCCGTACGGCCATGCTGTTTTCAAATCTGACAGATAATATGGGAAACTTCTCCCCGTACTATCTGCCTGAGGAAGGGGGGGGGGCGGCAGGCGCTGTTGCGGCTATGAGAACAGGTGGAACATGAAACATGTTCCAAAGGTGAACTTATCCTTTAAAGCAGAGTTCCACTCAAAAGTAGAAACTCTGTTTGTTTGCCTCCTCCCCCCCTACACTGCCATATTTGGCACCTATTGGGAGGGAGCAGATACCTGTTTTTTACAGGTACCCGCTCCCACTTCCAGCTCAGTTCGCTGTGGCGAAGTGAGCTGGAAGTTTGGTCCCTTCCTCCCTCCCGCAGTCTCCTTGGAACTTTCACAGGTCCCAGGAGACTGCCGGACCAATTAGAAGGTGCAGTGCGACTCCCGCATGTGCAGTGGGCACCAGACTGTGAAACCGCCATCTGTCAGAGCCTGCTGCCCACAGTTGAGATGCTGGCTCGCGCCGTGGTGGAGAGAAGGGGAGAAGGGACCGCACGGGTGAGAACAATGCTAGACCCTGGAACACATAAGTGTGTGTTTATTAAAAAAGTCAGCAACTACAGTTTTTGTAGCTGCTGACTTTTAATAAGCACTAAAATGGCTTGAACTCCACTTTAAGCTCTGTCAATTGCAACACCCAAGCACTCATAGCTCTAGCCACCGACGTCAAGGCTACTACTGGCTTACAGGCTGCCCCTGACAAAAGGTAGACTTTTTAGCTCTGTGTCCGACCTTCTGTCCATCACATCTTGGAATGCTACCGAATCATCAAGCGGTAGTGTCACATGTCATGCCAACCTCTGAAGCGATGCATCTACCTTTGGAGCATAATTCCATACATCTGAGTCTTTAGAATGGAACGGGTACAATTTCGTAATTTGTTTGTCTTCTTGTCTGGCCTACACCACTCTTCCTCTATTAATTCTCTGATTTCATATATAATGGGAAAATTAGGCATAACCTTTTTCAAATTAGGGAAATACTTTCTTATTTTTTGTGGAGGTTGTGATGATGATGACTCCCAGGCAATCGCCTGCTTCACCACTGTAACAAAGAAGGTAACAGTGAAAAGTCGAAAGCATAAGACTCCTGATTCTCCTTTTTTGTAGATGATTTTGCCTCCCTGTGGTCACGCTCTGGGGGTGGTGACACATCCTAGGTCTCAGCTGAGAAATCTGGTCCCCTTGAGAAGACAGCCTTAGCGAGACCTCTTTAAGGCCCTCTGCTACCGCCTAACGGATTTACTTCTTCACCTGCTGGGACTCCACAATTCTGTCCCAAGCCACCTCTTCAAAACATTTTTCACACACCAATTTTGATGGCATGGCGGGAGAACCGCATGACCAGCAGATACTTGCAGCCAGTTTCAGGGAGGAACGCACATTGGATCTTGATGAACAATGTGAGTGTGAACGGGACACCCCCTTTCTGGAGCCCCCTGAACCATGACCAGCATCTTGCTGAGCGGAAGACCGGTGACCAGAAGATTCTGGTGATGAACACCTGGACTTGGAATTATGCTTTCGTTCTTTCTGCTTCTTTTCCCCTGCAGGCGAATAGAACAAACAATCCTTAGCATCTTAGGTAAGAAAAAGGTGTTATCTCATCGCCATCCAGCCTCCTCCCCTACCTGGAGTCGTCCGATCTTTGTGCCTCACCTTAAGGTTATGGAGAGCTCATGGTAACCTCCTAGGCAAGGAGTCTTCCACCTGGACAGGCTGAACCAGCCAGGAGAGGTAGGGATCTTCATTTTTCTTCCTTCATTTATACATTCATATCAGTAGCAGGATAATTGTCCCGGAGCGAGGACAAAAAGGGAATGTTGGGGTAGTGGGATTCCCTCCTTTTATTTAAGCAGGGAGTTGTCCTGTGGGGTCAGAGGGGTGGAGCTGACCCATTTGTAGGCTGACATGATTAGCCCCAGGAAAAGAAGTTGCAAAGTAAATGTATGGAATAATTACCCGAAGGGCCTAGGTTACTGCCATCCATAAATCCAGCTATGCTTAAGAGAGCTTCAGTAAAATATGAATAATTGATTGGAAAAATATTTCACTTCATTTCTAGCCTATGATGATGAAAAGCAAATAGCGAACAATGTGGTGTGTACACCAGGACAGTATTTTATCCAGGAGGGAGAAGAACATGAGGAAAAGAAGGCTTGTCAGTTCCGCCGTTCTCTGTTACAGAACTGCTCTGGTATAGAAGACCCAACATTTGGCTTTTCCCAAGGGAAGCCATGTATCATACTGAAGATGAATCGGGTAAAACCAAATACAGAATCATGAAAATAACCATAAAGCTTCTCAGCAATGTATTCAAAAATGTAAAAAGTAGTCTGATCAGTGTGTAGAGCAAGCAGCAATGAATTATAAAAATAGATTCTCTGACTACTATTGTTATATATGAAGAGCTAAACATATAGAATGCGTAAACAGCTGAACACGTCCAGGAAATGCTGCTTCTTAGTTTCCAGCAATAACACTTTGCTTTGATCTAGTAGTCTGCCACTTTAGTGTTCCTGTAGTCTGCTGGTGAGCATGCACTCCACTGGGCATATAACAAACTTTTTAATGGAAATTAGCTTAGCTAAAGTATTTCAGGCTTTCCCATATACAGAATTGAATGGCTAAATATCCACAAATCTTTAAAAAATTATATCACATCATGTACTAGCAATGTGTTGTTGCACAAAATATGTAGGGGCAGAGCTAAGCGCTGACTTAATGTCGCCACTTCCAGTCTCAGGACTGGGGGCCATCTTTTGAGCGCTATACAGCATTGATTGGGCTATGTGACTGTCTTTAGTGGCAATAGATTACCAGGCAACTACAGCATATTGGTGGAGCTGGATGACCTGGTGTGAAAGGCTGGAGATTCTTTATTCAAAAAGCACTGTTTGCTGCTCTCCCTTGGCAGCTTTGCAGCTGGTGAGTGCAGCAATGGTGGTGGTCACAAGTGGTGGTGTGGATCTCCTAAAGGTAGAAGCTTGTTAACACCAGAGACACAGCAGATAAAAGTGGACTCTATTCCCCTCACTTAATTGTCACTTTTTTTTGTTTTGGTTTTTTATTTACTTTATTCACTTATTAAATTCTTTTGTGATATAATTATTTTTTATTGGAGGCATTTGCTGTTATATAGGCGCTGTACTATTATTTATATATCTAATAGAAAGCTGATAATGGAAAACTGATAGTTGGGAATTATAGGGGCATTGGCTGCCATGTTTAAAAATATGGTGAGCGCACTATGCTTTGTCCTATGATGGGACGATTTTATGTCCTGGGTACTATTTAAGCTGTAGAATACAGTACACTTCACAAATATTTACCAATGATGCAACCATTTCTGCAATTGCTTGGATGTTAACCTCTATGCTGTCATAGTACTGCAAACAATTAGGAACATACTCAGTATTACTAGCTCTTCTGACAGGCTGGAAAACAGAAAAGAAAATACTCCATTCATGGGGTATTCTGCACAAGAGTTGGGGGAAAACCTTGTCAGGTCTTCAGTCAAAGTATGGACTTATGTATAGAGAATAATGTAATTACTATGTAAAACTGGCAAACTCTCTTATTTCCACTAGATTGTTGGTTTTAAGGCTGGCTCTGGAACACCGATAACTGTCACCTGTGACATTCTAGTAAGTAACATTTATTAGTACCACTTTACATACCGGTTTGTGCTGGTAAATGCAGTAAAATCTATATGTATCCTATTACAGACTGGGTAAATCTGGATACAGAGATATAATAAAGGAAATGTTTTCTCTGTAGATTATAGTATTGTAAAAATGGCATTTTTTTATTTTTTGGAGTAGAGAAAAGTTTAAACTAATGACAGGTTTAATCTCTAGCAGAAAAAAATATATTCAAGCAGGCGTATAGAACCCAATCACACAATCTATATTCCTGTTATGAAACAGATAATTTAACGCTTATTTTGCATTATAGGAATAGAGATTATGTGGTTAGATTTTACAAGATTTTTTGAATATATTCATTGTGCACGTTGACATTGCAGTCTAAGAATCCCCACCATATAGGAATTATACACATTGGGGCTGGTTTACTACAGCTGGAGAGTGAAAAATGTGCTATAGTCCTGCATAGAAACCAATCAGTTTCCAGGTTTTATTGTCAAGGATTAATTGAACACGCTGAAGATATAAGCTGATTGGCTACCATGCACAGCTGCACCAGATTTTGCACCCTCCAGTTTTAGTAAATCAACCCCCCCTCTCTCTGTAAATAAAAATAAATTTATACTGGTTCAGTAGATATGGTTGTGCCAGGCACAGAAAGGTGTGAGCATCCACAAAAAAAACATTGTAAGGAGACAAAAAATGTCTTCAATAGGAACACGGAAAGGAATAAAACAAAACTGACAAAGGCTCAAACCCCTCCACGCTCTATCCAAAATAAAATAAAATGTTTTATCTGAAGTTGGGCTACTAGTTTGCTTTCATACCTGTGCTACTTTCATCTGGTGTGGTTGAAGCACAGTATGTACTTGCTGTGTTTTACATGAATTAGCATTTACACCTATAGAAAGTGCTTTTGCCTTGAAAAAATCAAAGATGCAGCAAGCAGGATTTTGTTTAACACAATGCACTAAAATTCAGAAGTGAATGTAACCTTAAGCTGGCTATACCCTATATGATTTACAAACAAACATTTGTTCAAAAATTCTTAGTACATTTGATGACTTCACAAATGTCATTCAGCAGTTTGCATTTAACATTCTATTTTCAAATCAATGAACTTTACAGAACAAAAAACCACGTACACTGTTTGAAATCTGTTCATCAATTTGACCCCACTAATAATTAGAAAAATGAACGTTCTTGAAATCAAAAATGCCAATAAAAATTCAACTAGTATATACCCAGCTTAGGAGGACTCCCATTATTTCCTTTAATATGAAAATCGGTGAGAAGGAGCAGCAAAAGGACCTGGAAGAGATTTACTTGGAAATGACTGATCTATGGAGTAGCAGTGATTCAAATGTAATAGATGTGCATTTCATCCTTCCCTTCTGAAATATCATTTAGAGACCTTACTTCTTGAAGTTTATGCCATTTTTGTATCATTAGCACCATTGTGCTTTCTTGCAATTTAATAATCCATATTTCCTATTTTAGAAAGGCAATCACAGTCTTATAGGAGAAGTTGGCTTCTATCCAGTGAATTACTTTGATCTTATGTATTTTCCATTCTATGGCAAGCTTACCCATGTAAGTTTATTTAGATTGTACATTTTGCATTTACTCTCTTCTTGCTTGGATTGGCAGCTGGGTAATATTTTCAAAACCTTATATGTTTGATAAAAATAGTTTTTGAGACTGCTTTTTCTTTCCTCTTGATCTTTACCATTTTTGTTTAGCAAAGCTTTGTCAGATGCGATTCTGAATTGGCTGGTGTTACAGGTAGTAGATTTTAGCTGATTTAAGCAACCATGCAGCTGAAAAGGCTTGCCAAAGCCAAGTCAAAAAAAATGTAAAGTCATATGAAAGGGATAAATCCCCTCACATGTTAAAAATCCCTCTGAAATACTAATGTAAACATCAAAATATGCTTTTGCCACCCTATACGGACCCTTCAAACCAATGTATATGGCTGACCAGTGTCAGAAACAGTCCTGGACCTAGATCCTCATTGCAGTATCTGATGTTCTTTGTAGTAACAACACAAGTGGAAAACATAGAAAGAAGTTTTAATATAGGCTGGCACACATTTCCTGATAGACTTCACACTATATCCAATTCATGCATTTAAATTTACATAAATTACATATTTCTACTTTAAAAAAGTGACTCCTGTCATCCTCAATATACTGGTATTTTGCATGCCAAATAATGGCTCAAACCTTATGGTTAGAAGCTCTAGTAAATTCCTTGGCAGCTCTGAACACAACATTAATCTAGAGCTGGCAGAAAATTCAGTAATTTAATTATAACGTGTTTGTGCTTTGTATGCCTAAATCATTGGAGATGTTGTGGGAACTATTTTTAATTTTGTTTTATTTCTTTAGGTAAACTATACATCACCTCTAGTCGCCATTCATTTCACAGAAGTGGCAAAGAATACCGACATCACAGTACAATGCAAAATACACGGACAAGACATTATTAATGATCATAAGACTGACCGCTTTCTGGGCAGAGTAGTCTTCACTATGAATATCCGATGATCTTTTTCCAAATGATTTCTCTCTCCAGTAATGGTCTTGGCAGCCAGATCAGTTTCTTCACTTACTTAAAGTAAACATTGACAATATACCTGCATGTCAAATTTCTAGATTCACAGGTTGTTTGTTACAAGTCTTGTGGTGGTGCAGGGGCCACAAATCCTGGTCATAAAAATATGTTTGTCTTAATCTAAGTTCTGACCTAAAATGTACCACATGGCCTTGATGATGTCATAAGCAATACCGCACACAATTAATTGACACTTACTTACTTTTTACAAAAAACTAAACAGATCAAGATGATTTTGTTTTGTCTAAATGGGTTGTTATAGGCTGAACGTTTCAAAATAATACTAGAGGTGAACAGAGATTACATAGAATGATAGTAGGATCAAATATCTTTACTTGGATTTCCTCTGCATCATATACTTCAGAATGCTGAAATGCACCAAACCAGTGTTACAAAGTAAAGCGGCAACATGTAATTTATTTTTTTTTCATTAGCACACTGCTCCCCTTTGATTCCATAAAGTATATTGTCTTAATGCAGCCACCCTACTTTCTCTGTTAATGTGTTACAGTGTGTTATAGTAAGTGTAAGATGTGATCAGCCACAGACAGGTGTGAGGAGCTGGGTCAATAGTAATAAAATGGGCACTAATGAGTAGTACATTTCCAGCCATAATGCTAACCAATAGCAAATTCTTACTGTTTTCAGAAAGAAAGGCCAGTTTAAGTTCAACTCAAGCCAAAACCTTTTTTTTTTTTTTCATTTTTAACAACACAGGGAAAGGCTAGATTATCTGTTGGATTTTACCTGCTCCCTGTGGCCCTTTTGGGGAAAAAATTCTTTACTTCCTGTTCAACTCGAAAACCATCACCAAGACAGGAAATTAGTGGAAATCTTTTCAGTGAAGACACATCCAACAATAAAAATGTACAGGGGTTCTAAACCTTCCACTATTTGCTTAATAATTAATTGTAATACTGTCTGTGTCCCTGTCTCTATGATATCCTTCAGAGAAGCTTTGACTCTCACTCATTGTTTTAAAAAAAAAATCAGTTTGGGCTTAGGTTGGGATTTAATGCACCAACAGTGGTGCACTTTGAAAACAGAAGGAAAAGTAAAAATAAAGTTGAATTTCCAGTTATCATTACTGTACACTTGTTTTATTATTATACAGGATTTATATAGCGCCAACAGCAGGGGCGGTCTGACAACTCATGGGGCCCCCGGGCAATAGGGGATCATGGGGCCCCTGTGTCCTTGCCCAAACTCAGAAAAGGCATCTCATGGGGCCCCCTACTGACCCCGGGCCCGAGTTTCCAAATGGTCAGTCCGCCCCTGGCCAACAGTTTTATGTCTTTCATGATAGAGGTTTAGTTATATCTGTAATTTTGTCAAATGATCAGACTATCAGAAGATCCTTTTCCAGCCAACATTCACATCCATTATCAGTGCATGAATGACACCCTCTTCAAAGGAACAGAAGGTGGGTGCTATTTTATCTCTGTTCGGGCAGCAGAAAACAATGAGGAATCGCTGTATCCTGTCCAAACAACCTGCTTTCTGTTCCTTTTGATGCTGTTCTGTGGACATTAGTAGCCCACAACTTTTAAGGCTGTTATAGAAATATGCCAAAGCTATTCGTATCATTTGATATCTTCTTTCCCTAATTCCCTTCACTGTAAACCAGACACTTCCCCTCCCTATTTTCTCTTGTGTGCAATGACCTGTAACATTCAAACATTATTGCATATATCTGAGGGTAAAAAGTTATTTTATTATCAAACACCCTCCTTAAACTCAACACTGATAACATTGGTTAGCCATGTCTTCAGTTAGTCAAAATTTCCCCAAACTTATACCCCTTTGAAAGTCTAAAAACTAAAGATGGCGATAGATGGTAAGAATTTTGAAAGAAAATTCTTAGGAAAAGTACGAAAATTCTCAGAACACTTGAATGTCGTTCAAAAGATTTCATTTGCTTTTAACATTTAATTTTGGAATGAATGGACTTTGCCAAATGGAAGCCATATACACTGATAGAAATTCATTCAATTCAAGAAAATGTTTACATCCTGCTCCTTCGAATTTTCTTGTTACTGTGTTGAAAAACAAACGTCGATTTGACCCACTAATGATTAGAAAAATGAATTAACTTTCTTAGAAAATTCTTTGCATTTGGAATTCTACCCATCTATGGCCAGCTTAAGACTGCTAGGCTGAATGTACACTAATATGGAAAGTATGTCTGAGTGTATTTGAGTCATGTTACACAGCCTGCAGCCCTCCTTCACGTTCTTAAGCAACCCTTGTCCAGGAGGAACTAATCCCTCACCTATGTATAAAAGGTCACACCAACACTTGTGTTTTCATTTGAACATAAAATGTACAAATATACTGCTCCCATGTCTGTGAAGGGTCTCATTCAGCCATACCTATTAATAGTTGCGTGTACATTACTACACTATGTAAGTCTAGCTGAAAGTGACTAACTACAGCTACAGTGCCTTGAAAAAGTATTCATACCCCTTGAAATTTTCCACATTTTGTCATGTTACAACCACAAACGTAAATGTATTTTATGGGATTTTATGTGATAGACCAACACAAAGTGACACATAACAGTACAAATACAGCTGTTCGTGAAACCCTCAGAGGTTTTTTAGAGAACAATAGTTAACAAACAGCATCATGAAGGCCAAGGAACACACCAGACAGATCAGGGATAAAGTTGTGCAGAAGTTTAAAGCGGGGTTAGGTTATAAAAAAATCACAAGCTTTGAACATCTCACAGAGCACTGTTCAATCCATCATCCAAACATGACAAGAGCACAGCGCAACTGCAAACCTACCAAGACATGGCCGTCCACTTAAACTGACAGGCCAGGCAAGGAAAGCATTAATCAGAGAAGCAGCCAAGAGGCCCATGGTAAGGAGCTGCAAAGATCCACAGCTCAGGTGGGAAAATCTGTCCACAAGACAACTTTTAGTTGTGCACTCCACAAATCTGACCTTTATGGAAGACTGGCAAGAAGAAAGCCATTGTTGAAAGAAAGCCTTAAGTCCCATTTTCAGTTTGCAATAAGCCATGTGGGGTGTAACGAAACCGACCCAGACTGTGCTTGAGTGCTTCCGTTAGAATACCGCTTTCCCGTCCGAACACCAACAACAGACACCACAGCTGACCATACAAGACTAGAAGACACCAGTCTTGAAGTAAACCAGGAGGTACACTATTTTATTTGAACACAGATACAAGATATATACACTCAGGGGACAATCCCCCCTCCCTGCATAATGACACAGGGCGGTGCAATCCACATTTAGTAACAAGAGACACACAGGTATTCAAACTTCACACCAGCAGACAGTCCCATCAGGAGGGAGGGCTGCTGGAGACATTCCTCCACTAAGCTATTACACATAAACACATGCATCCCATAATAGTTTGCTCCCAAGCCAGACAAACAATAGAACAATGGGACGCAGCCACATAACATTAAACAATCAACACCCCCCACCTATCTCCTAAACATGTCTACACAGTCTGAGGCAGCCCACACAATATTAGGACAGCTTACCCTGTACCCCTAACAGGCACAGGGTGATTTACACATAAGAGGGATATGGGGAGCTGAAACAGGGGTCTCCCCACCTTTCCAAAGTGAGCTGGGTTCCATGGGCCCCCACCCAAAGTGACTCCCGTCACTTGGGGGACACAGCAAACATGTGGAAGAATGTGCTCTGGTCAGTTAAGACCAAAATTGAACTTTTTGGCCTAAGAGCAAAACACTATGTGTGGTGGGAAACTAACACTACACATCAACCTGAACACACCACCCCCACGATGAAACATGGTGGTGGCAGCATCATGTTGTGGGGATGCTTTTCTTCAGCAGGGACAGGGAAGCTGGTCAGAGTTGATGGGAAGATGGATGGAGCCAAATACAGGGCAATCAAAGAAGAAAACCTGTTAGAGTCTGCAAAAGACTTGAGACTGGGGCAGAGGTTCACCTTCCAGCAGGATAGCGACCCAAAACATACAGCCAGAGCTTCAATGGAATGGTTTAGATCAAAGCATATTCATGTGTTAGAATGGCCCAGTCAAAGTCCAGACCTAAATCCAATTGAGAATCTGTGGCAAGACTTGAAAATTACTGTTCACATGGGCTCTGCATCCTATCTGACAAAGCTTGAGCTATTTAGCATGAATGGGTAAAAATGTCACTCTTTAGATGTGCAAAGCTGGTAGACATACCCAAAAAGACTTGCATCTGTAATTGCAGCGAAAGGTGGTTCTACAAAGTATTGACTCAGGGAGGCTAAATACAAATGCACGCCACACTTTTCAGGTATTTATTTGTAAAAATTTTGAAAACCATTTATCATTATGCTTCCACTTCACAATTATGTGCCAATTTGTGTTGGTCTATCACATAAAATCCCAATAAAATACATTTACATTTTTGGTTGTAACATGACAATATGTGGGAAATTTCAAGGTGGATGAATACTTTTTAAAGGCACTGTATGTATATCCTTTGCTTATGTGTCCTTGGCATTAACTCAAATATGTTTCATTCTTGTAACATATGTAGCTATGAAAGTACAGAATTATTTGTAAATGTTAGTTGTTCATAGTATTAAAAAAATTAAAAGGAACACAAGTACCAAGCAAAAGTATTTTTTACAAATACTTTATTGTTGCATTATTATTTTAGAATGACATAAATGCTTCTTTTTTGCAATTTCAAATGTGATTTCAATTGCCTATGGGCAAATGCTATATTATAAAAATGTAAATTATCATGAGACTGACATAAAATGTTTTTAGCATTTTGCAATGCACTCTTGAACTCACATCCTTAAGCCTTTCCTCTATAGTAGCACTGTATATAACATTCTGTACATTAAACACTAGTGTTGGGTCATAGGCTTAAATAGATTTATTGTTACAATAAAAACTATAGACAAAAAGCGGAACTTGTCCATGTCA